AAAAAAATTGATAATCAGTGGATCTACCTCAAGTATTTTAGAATGGTGCAAAGACCATGGTGGTCTCCTCGGATCTGTGCCACTATCAGTGAGAGGGGTGTGGGTCTCAGATTCAGTCAAAGAAAGAAACTGAGAGTTTCTACCCAGGCAAAAGCCTGGGAAAGAGCTGGAAATGAACGTAAATAATTCTTTATCTCTCTTGTTTTTCACATTGTTTATAGTTAAGTTCTATCACTGTGCGTCAAGCACTCTGCACCAGTGGTATAGGTTGTTTTCACTTCAGAACCAATGGATTTGATCCTTGCAAAGCTCTCTATAAAAGAGCAGTGTATTTTAAATAAATCAGAGTTTTACTCTCAATAGCCTTCTGAGTCAGAGTCTTCTCATTCCCGTCCTGCCTCGACAGTGACAGAGGGGCACTAATAAAAATCTCAATTGTCTATACAGCTATCTGTTTTTACAGATTTCAAGGATATTTCTTTGACAAGTAAGTAAAATTCTGCTGGGATTAGCCACAGGTTAAAAAGTATTAGAGTAGGATACACACGCATAGGGAATAAAGTCTCCTAAANAAAAAAAAAAAAAAAAAGCCATGAAAGAAAGAAAGGAAGAAAAATTATAGTTCCTTGGAAATAATTATTTATTAAAATATTTAATAAATATTTTATTATTATTTAAAAAATAATAACTGCTTTCCTAAAGAAAACAAAGTTCACAAAATAAGGCTTCTTGGAATACTGACACAATTATACCTCTACAAAAGTTCATTTCAATTAGCAGCCAATACCTGATTCTCTGCCAGTTAAGAGAAGTAGGGGATTTTGCTCTCAACACCTGACCAAATTACAAATACTCCATGAGACTCAGATAGAAATCAGCAAAAGAGAGAAAAGTCAAAATAGCTGCAAATTGAATGGAGCTGACTTCCATGTGCTGATGCATACTGTGAACTCTACAACGACCTCCACGTGTAACCCCAAGTATCATAAAATCATAGAATGGCTTTGTTCAACCAGAATACATGTTTTTCTGCCTTTTTTCACCTTAATTTCTTCCTAACATATTGCTTTAATACAGTTGACACATTATAAATTAACTTCTGGTGTAATACTACCCTTAAAACATCATATGCATCATTATGCAGATTCCAGTAATGGTTCCACAGTAAAGCCCAAGGTGAAATTTGCAGATAAAACTTGCTTAAACTTGCCATGTTTCACAACAGACTAATGAATGCAGCTGTCCAGATGCCATTTTCCAGCACACCTCATTACAAACAGGGGCTAACTTCTGCAAGCAAAGCATTCACAAAGCACTTGAAAAATACAATCCCACCCACTCTGATCCCTATCAAGCTTCTCAGTTCCAGGTTCCAGTTCTGCTTTTCAACTACCACAATTTTTTAAAAGGAAAAATCCAAACACGCACAAAAAAATCCCAACAAAATTGCAAAAACAAAACCCAAACAAAGAATACAAACACACCCTTCAGAAAAAAAAAAAAATTAGTTGGGAAATAATCTTAATAGCAGAGAACTTCCATTGCTCTGCCACATTGGTGGCTGGCACTGTGGTGGAATGTTAAAGGAAAAATATTCCCACACCCTACATTTAAATCACGGATGTGCCTGCAATGAGTCTTCTAGGACATGCCTAGGACACAACACTGCAATGGTTGTGCAGTGGTCACACTACACTTCAGATTAGAGGTGCAGAGCTGCTTTCCCAAAAGAACCTTTAGCAGCAGAGCTGGAAAAGAATGCATTGATTGCAAAGCTACAGAGCCTGGTTAACTTCACTGAAGAGCCACAAAACCTTCTTTAATTTCTACTTGTTACAAAGGAGAAGGAAATGCTTATGATGGTCAAATTGGGCAGGGACCATTAACCATAATTAGACTTTCATAAAGATATTCTTCCCACATTGGGGTTATATAATGATTTGTTTGTTTTATAGCTGAAGGTCTCATGTAAAATTTAATTACTTTTATGATATTGTGGGATTTTTTTAAAGAGAAAATAATTTGAATTTTTTTCCATAATTTTCTGAGCAGCATTTTTACCACACCTAGCTAATCAAACTTTACAGCTCTTACAGCTCTTTGTGTTTACCCCTAAGGTAAACTCAGTCTAACCCAACACCCTTGGGTTGAAAGCACATAAGACATGAATCATAGTCTCTGTGGAATTCTCAACAGAAGTTCTAGTTTGTGTGACATTATACAACTTTTAGCTGACCCTGACCTGAGATGGTCAGCAATGCAATAACTAGTTCAGAAAACAAACAAAAAAAACCAACCACAACCAAAAAATCCACCACCTGCATGTGCTGTTGAGCTTCACTGAAGCCATGGGTAAAAAAGTGCAATAGTCAAAAACACTGGCATGATTACAAACCTACAAAATTACAGAAGATGGGGTACATGAAAAATAATTAATAATTAATAGTTTATCTATGTAATTTACATAATGCATATATTTATATAGTAATGATAAAAAATTAACAAAGCCTATAGTTTGCAACAGAACATGTTCCCATAGGTCTCCCTTATTACTAACCCCAATTCTAACTTATGTATTTTACCCTGAAATTGAAAAGTCCCTCTGTCAGATACATTTGGAGGAAATAAGCTCGTACCAAATACCATTTTACAGCAAGCCTGCTAAATACAACAGTCTATTCCAGCTCAAGGTCTTGTCTTATGATATTTTAAGATTATAAATGCAGCAGGTGATGCCTTGTTGAGAAGTGTCTTTGCAGTGTCATGTAAGAGGGCACTACTCCCTTTAAAGGATTTGAAAAAGCACCCAGGTGTGTGTCAGTGCACAGACTGTACTCCACTCCTGCAGTAGGATTTTTTCCTAGGGAGAAAAGAATACAGGCTCCCATTGCTTATATGGAGCTTAGGGAGATAGCAGCACTTGCCTTCCTACTAGTCATTGATCCCTGATCACAAAGATGTGAAACAAGAGAACAGTTCTTAAAAACATTGGCATACCTTTGTATAAATCATTTGTTCATCAGCTTATACTTTACATGTCCACCAATGTTACCCTAAACATTCTCAACGTTTTTATATATTTCACAAAACTCTGAAACATTCTATGTTCAGCCTCAGTATACTCCTTAATATATTTGTTCTTAGACCACCACTGTCCTTCTAGCTTTATCCCCCTTCTCTAAGTTGCTTCCATGTAGAACAGACAGGCCCATTCTCAATTGTTGCTGTGACAAATTAACCTGCAGTCATCCAGTGTCCCCTCAAATGGCAGGTTTTCCCTTTCCTATACATACTCCTTTATCCATGCCTCTGCCGCGAGTTAATTTTCCTCAAATATGGGTAACATGCCAAAATAAAACTGTTCTACATAAAATCCTATCAAAACTTTGTTCAACAGTATTTTCCTTTTTCCACTGCAAATGTTTTAACCTCCAACACCTCTAGATCTCATTACCTTTTTCAAACCCAAGTAATATCAAGTTCTGATTAAACACTACTTCCTCTATTTGTCTTTCTTCCTTTTGAGGTGTTTAAAGTGCCTCATCTGGCAACTGAACTAATCACAAACATCTGATTAAAAGTCTAGCCTGGCGTAATATTTGCCACATCAAAAGCAACAGACTTAGCAATACTTATGTCCCAGATTAAGATTTTTAGGTATGGCTCCAAATACATTTTTCGTCTACTCAAGCTGATAGACTTCAAAGATTTTGCACTGAAGTATAAAAAAGTACAGTTCAATATAACAATATAACAATATAACAGCATTGCTTGCCTATGAGCAAATTTTGAGATATTGGAGAAGTGGGAAAATTAATTCAACCATTCTATTCCAAGGTACAGCACCCTTAAGAAAACACCACAAACTTTTGTTCTGTGCTCCTGCATTTTCCCAGGCAGTGGTTTTTCTAGGACACTGAGACCTTTACTAAGACTTCTGCTCTACAGAACTGGCTTAAACACGCTCAGCAGCAGGCCACCAGTGGTTTGCCCTCTCTGCTACACCATCACAAGATTCTGCTCCCTCCTGTGTCCTGGTTTTCCTGTTTATTTGCTGCTGTCCTGAGCTGCCTAACAAAGCAGAACTTTTACCTTCACAGCATTATGGCTCTTGCTTTAAGTTTAATTCCTCATAGAATCACTGCAGATACAATAAGACCTGTTAGGGAAGTGACTGGAGAAGCTGTCAGAAAAGGTACTGCCACACAGAAGTTTGTCTTTGACACTGCAAGGGCAGACAAAAAGCAGGATTCAAAGATCCACAGCAGGAATTATTATAAAAATTTTCCAAAGTTTTTCTTTAAAAATTATAAAAGTAATTTTTTCCTTATACAACAGCATCAACAAGTGAACTTACAAAATCGTATGTGCTAAGCACTTAGCTGAAAAGAAGATTCAGCTGGAGCTTATCAGCTACATAGAACATGATCATAATCTGCAGAGGAAAAGAAACCCATATTATTGTGAATGCAAAATGATCATTGTCTGTGGCAATCTAGCAACAAAAGAAAGACTACTTTACCTGCAATATCTGTTGATGTCAGTAGATGGTCTTGTAGATGCAGGCAGTGTGTTCTTTTTCCAGTGCAATCATAGTTGATCAGATCAGAGGCTGAAGTACCTGGTTAATTCACTTAGTCAACTTAAAACCAAGAAGTTTTTAGAAACTCTTTTTAAAATTATTCTGCTGGAGGGACAATTAAAGCAAGGTTGATTGTGATTGTCAGATGAATTCACCAGCATAACTTCCAACTCTTACTAAGATAGCAAAAAACCACAGTTCTTGACCTTGAACACTCTGACACTTTCAATCTCTCAGTTGAAATGGGTTTTCCACTTTTTAAAGATTCTTTAGGAAGTAATTGGTATTATCTTGCTCACCCTCCACTTGATTAGGTGGTTTGTAGTAAACAGTAAATACTAGTTTTTCTTTCTTGGCTCAGTCCCTGATTTTTCACCTGCAAGCTATCAACCTAGCTGTCTCTGACTGGTGTACTTAAGAAAACTGTGAAGAGTATGTGAGCAAAACTAATATTTATTAAAAGAGAAGTACATTAAAAAATGTATTAAGAATCATACAAAATCAGCTCTTGCATAATTTCATAAGGCAAACCTCATGTCCTCAGTTTTAAATACAGAATCAGTACATTCAGTTCCATGTAAAAGCCATAAAAGTAACAGTGCTCATTTGCCACTCTTCTGCATTACATATTGTCCAACTGCATAATTCAGTACTTTTCTCTGGGCTTTATGCAAAGTGAGGTGAATCCCATCCCACAGCACAGCAACATCTTACATTATTTTATTAATTCACATTTATAAGTTGTGCCTACCTTGACTATTGACATTTCTAAAATGAATAGACACAAAAATTCCTTCAACAAAGGTCGGGTGAATTACAAGCTGAAGAGTAAGGAAAAAATATCAAATTGAAACCCTTCAAAGGAGCCTTCCTTCCTCTTACACAGAAAGAGAAAGCTGAGATTTAGAGCATTTTCATCACAGTTTCATCATCTCATGATGATCAAGCTATAGGAAGTAGTAACAAAATCTCACAATGTGTTTTATTGTTAAATATAAAAACATTTATTTCCTTGTTTACCAAACAAATTTTTTTACCAAAATAAGATACTCCATATTGAATTTCTAGGAGACTAAAAGCCATTAAAATCCTTGAGAAAGGTAGGAAGGAAATTGAAACCATGAATGGCAAAATGGGAAGCAGGTAATGATTGTTTAGTCTTGAAAGTACATGGGCATCAGCCAGGAGAAAAGGGAAAGCAAAATGAGTCATTTCCCCTCTTAGTGAGAGATTTTTTGTCTGTGGAGTTCTTCTTAAGATTATGTAAATTGTAAAAGTTCCTGAAGGGAGGTTCTAAAGCAAGAGATACAAGTACAGAAAGAATCTGTTTCCTCAAACACCAACACACCTTTGACAAAAAGAGGTGCATCACTCAGTAGAGTCTGGAAGATTATTCTCCAGATGCTTGAATGGTTTGGACAGACCTCTCAAATCATCTGGAATCTGCCACTGTGATTTGAGATACTGAGCTAGGTAATTCTTCACTCTTCCCCACACAAGGAAGCAACATCCATGTTGTAGTGTACATCCCTTGAGTTTTCAGAGCACATAACCTGGAATGAGTTTTCAGTGTCAGGTGCACTACTCCCTCCCCAGGAAGAGAGTTTCCAGCTGTTCACTGCCAGTATTCTCTCTTGAACCTCATGGCTTTGCTCACTGCAACCTCTCTGTATCCTCAGCCTTGGAAACTGCTCATGTATTTGACTTATTGATGACTTTCTTCAGCTTCCTCCTTTGCAGAGCCAAGTTTAGGGTTTTGAGGAGAGTGTCCTTGTTGTTCAGAACATTGTAGCGATTCACTTCCACCAACCTGCTGAAATCATATGGCTCAAAGGTGAAGTTTAGTGTACGGTAAGGGGAATCTTTTGACTCAATGATAAAGTCACCAAAGGATTTCTCTTCTTCTGACTCACGTTCAACTCCTGCAGCAAAAAAAAAAAAATCACAAAAAATCCTCTGCTGAGATAGACACATTTTAGTTGAATTGTGCTGTGAGGATATCAAAGATAATTATGTTGAAACTTAACTTTCATCCCAAAGCTCCTCCTCAGAGATAGCAGCTCATTCCAAAATATTTGAAAGCTGAAGTGGCAAAGTATTCCCTTTCTATTTCCACTTGGCTCCAAAATACAATACTAAAATACATTTCCATTATGATAAATTGTTACATTCATCTTTGATTATTATGCTCAAAATAAGAATATAAAGCTCAATTCTCCCTGGAAGTGCTGCTCTACACTAAAATGAAAGACAAACCTCAAGTTCAACTGGCCCTAGGAGTACCTTGCCCCTTACATTTAAATACCAGTCTTAAAAGATGAACATCAAAGTAGTTTACTGCAAACATTTTTGTGGGGGGAGGGGTGTTCTGAGCCTGTACTCTCATCCTGCCCACTAGTGGAAACTGATTCTGCCTTAAATGTAAATAACAATTTAACAATTACAGAGTAATACTACAAAGAATGAAAAAGGAACATTGACTTCACTGAATTTTCCCCATCAGCACACTTAAAAGAATTGTTAGAAGAGTGCTTTAAGATGGAGCTTGTTTACCTGGAGCTTTGTATTTCTGAAAGGTGTCATTCACCAGTGGGAAATGGAGTACAATTGGAGCCTTTGGATTATTATCATCCACAAACATGTAACACTCTTTTGGCTTCTTTTCATCTTCCTCACTAAACTCAATTTTTGGAAAAGGAATTTCATGCTCCTCACAGTACTTCTGAGTCAGCTCTAAAACCTGTTATCAGAGGAAAAAATAATTGCAATAGAACACTAGCAACACTTCTAAAATCATCTAACTACAATCCTCAAAGGGTAAGAGACTTTCATTAAAAAAAGAAAAAAGAAATGAAGTGACAGAAGCTCAGCTTCAAATCAGCAGAAACAATTTCTCTAGCTGGTAATACAGAAGAATGAAGAGCAGAACTGCAAAAAATATCAACAGATTGCTGCTAAAACTTTTTTATGCTTTCCTACTCTAAATCTATTCACCTTCACTTTTCTGCACTTAATAATGAACACTTGTATGTACAGAAAATAACTTGTTTGCATGAAGAAAATCACCAATAGACACTTTTTTTCTTAGAAGCACATATCTAAGTAACAGCGATCTTATGTGCCAAACAGTCTTATTTTACTTAATCTGTTTAGGCTTCTGAAAACTTTTGAATCTTCTTACAGTTGTCAACTTTCTATTTTCTCATGACCTTCACAGCAAAAAGCATAGCAAAATAATGTCTGAAATGTCTTTTCATAGGAAGACAGGCCAAGAGAGGTGAGGCTGTTCAGCTGGAGAAGAGAAGGCACTGAGGAGATCTTTCAACACCTTCCAGTACTAAAGGAAGCTCACAGGAGCTGGAGAGTGACTTTTCACAAAGGAAGGTAGCAATAGGGCAAGGGGAAACAGCCCTAATATGAAGGAGAGTAGGTTTAGATTAGATATTAGGAAGAAATCCTTCACTGTGAAGGTGGTGAGACACCGGTACAGGTTGCCCAGAGAAGCTGTGGACTCCACATCCCTGGAAGTGTTCAAGGCCAGGGTGCACAGGACTTTAGGCAAGCTTGTCCAGTGGAAGGTGTCCCTGCCCATGGCAGGAGGGTTGAAATGAGATGATCCTTAATGTCCCTTCCAACCCAAACCATTCTATGATCCCATGAAAGACATAAGGATTTATTTTCATTCATTGGTCCATTAGTTTTTATATTCAGCTTCAACAAATCTGCTGCCACTGAATATGATTCTGTGCTTTTCTGTTCATGTAATATTGCTCAGCTACATCTCTCACCTCAAATGGAGCTTCCCAGGAAAAATTGAATGACAAGATAACATCCACATCCCTCTCTGGCTGAAGTACCAAAGGAAAAGGAGAGTTGATGGAAAAGCCACCATCCACTAAATACAAGCTCTCTGCCATGGGAGTCAGCTGGTTAGGAAATGCATCCAGGTGAGTATCTGTAAGACACCCCAAGAAACACAACTAATTATATTGATTCATTACACATGAAGAAATAAAAAAAGCTCATGCTAGTGTAGTAAGAAGAAAAAAGACATTCCAACATGCACTTTCATATGAGACAGACCTATAAAGTCTGATGAGGCAGCTTGCCTTATATGAAGGAACATATATAGTGGATCAAAATTTTTGGTATGGTGTAAGAAGGGATATAATTCCCTGACTTCAGCAGAGCAAAGTCAGGCTCACTAATGTTCTGTGACATTGGGATATTATATAGTGATAGTTAATAGTTATAGATAATATTTCGTGATAGTCAGAGACACAAACTCCTTTACCTCTCCAAGTCACAAATTTCTTGATGTTAACATAATCTTTATGAAGATACAATCCCTTCATGAAATTGAAGGTTTCTCCACATGTGACACGGGATTTGAAGAAATCCTGAACAATTTGTAACATCGGGCCCCCAGGTATAACCAAACGAGTCTTCAGCTGTGCTGGGTCTCGGAAATGGAATCTTCGGCAGTCATCTGCAGAAGTCTTCTCATCTGCAGAACACACAAAATGCCAGCTCCAACATTTCAATCAGACCTTTTCCTACTATATTCAACCAGATTTCCTAAGGCTGAATTTGTCCTCTAATAAGGGTATTGTAATAAAACTTAAATGATATGCATATTCCAAAGGGAGGTGATTTACTAGCACTGTTTAACAGCAAAAGCATTACTCAAAGTACTGCCCATATTAATTTCAAATCCACACAAAGAAACCCTTGTTACCAAGTGATAATCACTGCTGTCATATAAGACATCGGTCAAACACACACAGTAGCATTTATAACTACACAAAACAAAAAGGATGGGGTGTGCTGGGGGGAACCAGGGCTGGAAAGGAAGAGGAAAAAAAATTTCTTCTTCCACTAGTTACTATAAGGCCATAACACATGAACATGAACAAGCCCCAGCCTCTAAAAGAGTTTTCACTGTTAGGAACAAATGGACATCAATGAATAAGCATACAACCAGCTTATTCAATACTACAAAAAGCAGACCATGGGGGAACTGAAAGCCTTTTTTTCCATCTCCTGCATAGTAATCCAGCTTCTATTCTTCCTCTTCTCAGGATTATGATGCCCACACTTTAATATGTGTTTAAGAGAGCTCCTAGAACTAGCCCATATTTATAGTCAAAGTCAGATACAAATTCTTTTTAAAAGAAGAGGAAGTGTACTAAAGAAACAATTTCTCTTCACTATAAGAGTGATCAAAGGGAATAACACACAATAAAAGAGATCTGTCCCAATCCACCCTTTGTGCTAATCTTGAAAACTACATACAGCACACTTTTGCATCATATTATTTGTGATCACTACAAAATCAGCAATCCTTTGAAAAATACAACTATTTTTATGTATGTTCTTACCTACAACTTTGATAACATCTTTGAAAGAATCTAGAAAGTTCAGTCCTATACCAACCACCTTCAGGCAGATATCATCCAAGCTTGCAGCAAAGGCACTGCCCCACATTCCTGCAGGAGAAATGCAGAAGAATTTAACACTCAAAAGGTTTTTCACTGAACCAAAAGGTCTATAATTCACCTGACATTTTTCATGGGAGAGGGCTGTCACTTGATCCCCACTATTCTAACAGTTGGAGTTAAAACCTTGGTGTTGCTAATCATGTGACAAATTATGATGTTACAATATGATGCTGAAAATTTTTCAAGAGAAAAGCATGGAAAAGACAGTAAGAGAACAGGAAGAGTGACAGTAAACATTTTTGACAGGCAGCTATAATAGAGTCATCTTGCAGACTCAGGACATCAGACTGTAACCCTTTGAACCAGCTACGAACCTAAAGCTCTGGAGAAAAACCTACATGTTTCACTTCAAGTTCTTTGAAAGGGAAAAAATGCATGGACTTCAGTTCACAAGTCCCTAAAGCAGTGAAGTTCCTTTCCATCTCCTTATATTATCATTTGATCATTACAGTAAGATCATACCTTGTAGAAAGCAAATCCTGGGCTCTGGATGTTTCTGGACAAGCCGTCCCATGAAGAACTCGCTGTCAAAATTCTCTGTTCGAACAAAAGCTCCATATTTGCGAAATCCAACTTCATAGGGAGTGAACTCACACCATTCTAAGAGCAGCACAACAGGATATTTACTCATCTCGGAGTACACATGAGTGAAAATATTTATCTGATATCTGCTCACACAGAGGAGATAGGAGGGACTCTCCGCTCATTTTTCATTTTTCACAATCACTATGGATTGCTCTGCCCCTCGTCTCTAGCTTCTATGTATATATGATTAACAAAAACTCTTGTGAAGGCTTTCATTCCATCTTGCTCCATCTTGACTTTGTTACTATGGCAATAACCTGCCTATTTTACTTTTAATTTAAACCATTTTGATGGCTCCCTTTTCCATCCAAAATGGAAGCCACATTATTTTTCTCAGCTTTTCTTTGCACTATGAACCATCTCCCAGGAACTACTACAGTACTGGCTTGAAAACCTGATTGACCCACTGTATCAGACTTCATTGTTTTCTTATCAAAGTGCCCCCCTCATGCTTGAAAAATTTCCACAAAGAGTTGAAAAAGAAGGGACATCCAGTCCAACTCTCGGGCCTGCACAGATGAACCTGACAAAACACAGCATGCATCTACAAGCATTATCCAAATCCTTCTTGAGCTCTGGCAGGTTGGATCAAATTGAATTCACTGCCATACACACACACTCCTCAGAATAAAACAAACAAGTCTCCTCATGTTACACAGATGAATACAAGCATTTGTGTTTCTGTCTCACTCATCCATTCCCACTTGTTGCATCATAATTAAAGTTTCAATGAAGGATTGCTCTTTGTATTTCTACAAAGAGTAAAACATAAAATCAGGCACTAAAACATAAAATTTTGATGATGCATATTACAAGGTGGCCAATCCATCATTTTACATGAATCCTATACAAATGTTTTATCTGAGACTAAAAAAGAAAGTGGTTTCTTTATCAACAAGGCCTCTAATTCTTTGATTCAGACAGAGACACATGGCTTACAGGAATCTTCTCAGCTCCTGAAAATTTCAGGCAGTTTCTAGCAAAACTTGTGGCATGGCAAACAGTTCTCAATCTCATTTTTCCATCTGGGCCATGATGAAGACCTTTGCTATCAATATGATAATACTTTGTCAATCAGTCTCCTATTGCCTCTTACCAACTGCTTCTTGAGCCATATTTCCTGTTATCAGCTGCTCACTACCCAAGCTGGAGAGATGAAATACATTTATGGACTTTAGCAAACAAAAATAAATTTCCATGTTCATACCTGCAAAGTCACCACTGCTCATATTGGGTCTCACATTGACAGCTGCATAGATAGGATAAGGGTTCTGGGCCCATTTCACTGCTTCTTGCTGATCAGACAGCTTTGATGGATCTTCCTGGTCACAAGCAAGGAAGGAGGAGCCCATTTAAGTCAGGTAAATTCTGTACCCATAGGTTGATAACTGGTAGCTGTTGCTTGGCATTTCTGATTAACAACACTACTAACTCAAAGTCCCTTTTTCTCTCCACTGTTCAGGTTATATGGCTAGATTTGTCCAAAATATTTCTACAGCTGTAAATTTAGAATGCCTAAGGTTAATAATAAGCTAACTATCCCTCTGATTTTCAATCTCAATTACATAGAAAATACTGCACAATAACTCCATTCTGCAAAACCAACATCATTCTGTCAGGCTTAACCCCCCCAGTTCAAAAGCTATTCTTTTAATAACAGTCATTCCAAATAAACACAGCATTTTTCTGTAACACTGATCCATATGAATTAAAAATTCTTTACTAAAGAAGATACTCTGTTTATTCCACAGCACTGCCTATACAAAGGCGGAGAGTAATTGGTTTCTTAACTCTAAACACATGGGTCAGTAGAGTTCCTACTAGAAAGACAAACAGCAGTACACATCCAAACATTAATTCTTTTACCTCTTGTTGTAGGAAATATTCCACAATAAGACCCCACAGATCTGTAAAGGAAGCCTTCCGTCCAGTGACCTCCATTGCATTCAGCTCCTGGAAATAGTATTTCAGTCGTTCTGGGGAAAATGCCCCTGCTTTGCTGCTGGACACAGTGTCCTGAGCTCTTCTGATTGCATCTTTAAGGTCTTTCTGTGACCAGTCAGGGTCTCGATACAGTGTTGATAAACACCTGAAAATGCTTTTATTAACGTCATCAGCAATAAAGACCTTTGTGTAAACAATACTTTTAGCTAGTGAAGAATCCACAAAGATCTCTGAACTCTGAATTGTGCTGAAAACCCTGACACCTATAGGACATCTTTGCTCTGATGGCTAACCTGCCTTCCAGAGATGTTCCAAGCATCCTATGCTAGCACCCATGAACCAGCCCATAAACATACATTAACTCCAAACAAAACAACCATGATATGCAGGCTGATGGCAAGGGTGCAGTGTGCAGCAATAGAGGCCTTGGCCTTTACCAGAAGACAGGTCTGATCAAAGGAGAAGCTAGTTTGAACCATTGACAATCTGTACAAACAGATGCCTACATTTGTTTGGAAGTCTCTCTGAATCAAAAAAGGCAGGAAAAGTAGGAACTTGATTTTAACTTTCAACACACACACAAGTAAATCCTTGGAAGGAAGGATTACGCTGTCAGGTTGCACAACTCTTCTATGAAATAATTTTACAAAAACAAGGGATGACTTCATCATAAACTCCCAAGAACTGAGTGAGTGAAACATTCTAGCCATGTCTAATATTTAAGTACATTGCTCCAGTCCACCAAAGGGCAAGACAGTGCTATGCATCTCTTCAGCCTCTATGCCATTTTGGAAGGTGATTGACGTAGTGGCCTCCATGGACATGTTTCCAGTGATTTGCACCACCTCAGTTATCTTCTTTGCAAGAGTCGGGGAATGAGGAAGGTTTTAAATCAGTGCTCTGAGTTACTACACAGCAGTTTTATTCATATAAAACATTCTAATATTCAACTGTCAGACTTGCACAAGCAGCAGATTAATCATTTTAGCCAGTAGCTGCATGGGTTGGACATGATACTGGATCTCTTAGACTGTTCAGGATCCCCAGCAGAACTCACAGCTAAAAACTGGTAAAATTCTTGACTTGCTGTCTGCCTACAGACAGCACAAATGTAATTTTGGCCTTATTTTGCATCAACACTACCATTTCACCTCCAAGTTTCTGAATCAAACCTGCATGCAGCTTACCAAGTGGAGCCAGAAACGCCACAGAGGTACATTGCAGCATCCAGAAGGCCCAGCTGCTGCAGCCCAGCCAGGCTGCCATAGAACGACGTCAGCGCTCTCATCCCACCTCCAGAGCCCAGCACTGCCATGACTGGAACCTGCAGACAGCAAACTCAGGACTCACAACCACAGGCTTTTGATGGCCAATAAATAACAGAACTAACCCCATTTCAGTCTCATTTGAACAACAAATAGAACATAAAACATAGAGATATAAACTCAAATAGAGATATAAAATAGAGATATAAACCTTTATTTCTATCTACATTACAAGTAATTTTGGGTTTGATTTCAAACTGAACTTCTTTCTCTATTTTGTAATTGAACTACATTGCTTACTCTAAAGCATAGTATGGTTGTCTTACGAACAGTCACTTATTGAAATTGTTATGTATATTATCACACATTTACTTTCATGCAATATACAGGTAAGAGGCAATTAGTCTTGTAACAGCAGCCAAATACCACTGAGCAAGGTATCAGGATATGTAGATGTAAGTTTCCTCAAATAAGCAATTAAGAATCTATTCCTGTGGTGTGAGTTTCATTTTAAACATTCTGACTCAAAATTTCCCATCACAATTCCAAGCCCAAAGCCCAAGATATGAGTTCCAGTAAAGTACATACATTCTGAAATTTCAACATTTGTGTCCCAAAACACACACCCCCCCACAAAATTTAAGAAATATAAAATCATTTAGACTTCAGAACTGAAATGTACCAGAGAACTGTCTCATACCAATGAATGCTTCTTGCTGGTTACAAGCAAGGATTCCTATATTGCCTAATTATCAACCAAGCCTAAAGAATTTTACCAATCTCACCACAGGACTGTGCTCAATACCTCATCTTTTGGAGGGGATTCTTTTAAGTCAAGAGTCTTCCTCAATGCCTCAGAAACTACTTTCTTCCTTTTGTCCAAAAATTCTCTCTCTTCTTTACAGAGCTCAAAACCTAGACGTATATCAAGATCCCAAGTGCTGAAATAGAAGTTAAGAAAAAAAAACCTTGAAATTTTGGAGGATTTGTAATCAGTATGAAAATGTAATTTATGTGAACACACAATCTAGGTGCAGATCTGAACTGGATCAGGTGAAATTTTAGTGTATACATCATCTATTTTGTACAACAGCTTTTGGAATTAAAAATTTAAATTTCCATATTGTATTTCTCCTTTAATGTTTAAATTCAAAGCTTCTGTCAAACAGTATTCATATTAAGCTTCAGAATTTCACAAAGGAAGAAATGGTTCTTTGTAGGTGAAGAAGATTGTAAGAGGAGGAACTGACATTATTGTATCAACATGAGCAGGAAGTGAGGGGAAGAGGGATTTTAAAACAGAAGATTCTGAATTTAAGAGGTAGGAGGAGGTAACTTGAATACCAATGACCTTGTTATAAGGTTGTAAAACAGGAGCAGGATCTTCAGTTGATAACTGGATACCAAATGATCCTATCAACTTACAAGCCAACTTCTTGGTTTTCTGATTTTTTTCCCTTTTTACTCCTTTCTTGCACCCTTCACCTATTTTACAGGTCAAGCTCTCTACACATATATAGCCTTTCCTATTTCTCAGTACATCACTGCACATACTCTGGGATACCTGTGCCTGACAAAACTATGTAATATGTATATCAACACCTATTTTACACTTAAGTATTAGGAACACAAAATTTGTACATATGTCAGCAGGATTGACACCAGTCCAATAGGTAATATCTGCAAAGAAAAGTCAAAGCCTTCAGAAAATTATCAAAAAAATTATCAAATATGTTTTTCTTTAATCTATCCCAAGAGATCAATGGAGTGAACAGAGCTCCCCAGAACAGCAAGGAGAGTCACTCAGTTCCTTCACTATGAGAGTAAAGGCCCTTCCTGATTTTCAAGTGGGGTTCCCACTCACCTCTCTTCAGTTTTCAAACTCATATCCAAACTTTTTCCCTGTGAAAAGAGAGAACACAACTTGAAGCTGTCAGCAATTACACAGGTGGAACTTCAAAACAGAAGTTATGTATTTTCTTCTACAAGTGTCTTGCTTTTTCCCTCCTCTGATTCTTTTCTTTTATACCCTAAAAAGACTTTTCTCTTCAGAAAGTGATGAACTTTATACTTAATTTTGCAAGATTCAACCATGAAAACACATTAGGAAGAATTTCACTGAGTAATCCCATTGCTTCATTCTAGACATCCAAGAAAACAGCACTCCCGAGAATCACATGTTGCCTAACTTTCCAAACACCTAGAGGCAATGGAGGGAAAGGTTATCTCATGCACATTAAAGCAAGAGCAAAATATTGATATTACCTCTCCCAGAGAAATGATTTTATCAACTTTTTCTCCAACAGGAAGGGAATTAACTGGTACAGTCCCCAGTCCTAGAACTGTAGTATGATTTTCAATATCAGGGTTCACACCATCCTAATTAAAAAAAAATCTTAGTTGAGATTCATAGAAAAAAGTTGAAAAAAATATGACTTTCATACGTTGAAACAGCAAACAATTCTTAATATCACTATAGCTAAATATTTTCCAAATGTCCAAGGCTTTTCAAGGGCATTCTGTTTTCTGCTTGGCAGGTCTTTGCAGGGATATTTCTTTCACTCAGTTTCTTTGTTGTTGTTTGGTTTAGTTTTAGGGGTGTTTTGTTTATTGTTATTGGGGTTTTTTTTAACATACCTGTCTGCCACAATTAAAAAATCTCCAAGTACAAAATTTTCCCCACAAATAGTTTTGTTCTGGCATGTGTCAGAAAACTCACTAACAAACTTGCATTCCATCTTCCAAGCAAGATTTGGAAAAGACACCAAAAAAGGCAGCAGCATTATACATTCATCAAAAATGCCACAAAATAAGAAATAAGGGAGTATGTAATTTAAAAAAAAAAAACTTTAAAAGCAGAGCAAATTAAAGTTTGCCAGGAAATATTTGGGTTTCCTGCCATGTAGCAAATGGCAAGATCTCTTAATATAAAGCTGTGTGCAGATTCCTAAATGCAAAGAGGCATATTAAAAACCCCTCATATCAGAGGGTCACACAAGCCTACAGAGCCTCCAGGTGGGCTGGAGCCCGCACACCAACCACAGGCTCAGCCCTCAGGAGGAGACCACACCTAGAGAAAACTGGGCTGACTCCTGCTCACACCAAGAGCTGAAGTCAGGCCAGGAACCATGCACAGACTTCTCAAGTGTCTTCTGAGCAATAACTGCTGTCCTGAGACCAATGTCCCTCTAAGCTCACTGTCCTCTTCCTAACGGAGCAAATAACTTGCATCTAGGCACAGGGCAAGCAGCACTACAACGGTCCTGGCACTCTCCCATATCTGATAAGAGAGAAAAGGTCAGACGGGAGACTTTTGTGGTCCATGCCACTTGTTGAAGGAGTATGTTCTGCTAGCTACCAGAGTTGTTTAGCAGAAGTTTACCACCTGGGACAATCTCCACAGTTGACCTCTGCAGTTTTTTTGCTGCCTGGTTTTTTTGACCACTCAAGCCCAGGTCTCTCTCTTCAGCTCATATTTGCTGCCTAACAAACCCCCTGGCAAAGCTGTTCTTCCATATCCTTCCTTGGGTCCTCTTCTCCACAGCTGCCTATACAGTAGTCAAGATCACCATTTGCAATCATGCTACCCAATTGCTTGTTGGGATAAAAAAAATATCATAGAATAAAGAGTTTCTTTACTCTCATTTTTGGAGAAGGAGTATTCAGTCACTACCTGGAGAAACTGCAAAGTAAAAGACACACAAAAGCTATAATAAACCTCTGCAACTGATCTATAAGTTTCTAATAGAAAAGAGTTCCTATAGAGTATCTCAAAAGGTGAAAGTAAAGATGTCTACATGTAGCAAGCATGTGCAGAGTAACATTTTCTTAATCCCTGAGTTTGAACAGATGTTAAATCTTTGGGGAACGTAGAGTCTCTTAAGGTAATTTCAGCTCCTTACACAATGTCAAAGAGCCAATGCACAATCTGACATTAAAAAAAAAAAGCAAAACAAAAAAAAAA